AGCAAGGGTTCTGGGCTCCAAGTGCCTGGGCAAAATAGAAAGGTGTTGGAAGTGCAAGCTCCCCTGCTAGAGGCCCATCCCACATACAATGAACCACACAGAACTCAGCTTGTCTACAAAACTGAGTCATCCCTGCCAGGAGGCAGAGCCCTGGTTCCAGGGAGTCTGGAAATTTCAAACCAAAAGCCCAAACCACTAAATCACCCTCTATTGTGGGCATGTGCCATCTCCATTTGCTTGAATGTGTGCTCCAGTAGAGGGTTTGCAGGACTGATATCAACGTGCATATGCACACATTGTATGCAGCAACTATAACCTCCATTGCACACAAGTAGCTAAGCTCACAGACCGGAGCCAGCAGTGTCCCATCAGCATGGACACGTGCTGCTAGGTCATCTACAGTAGCAGCACTTGGGGAGTTAGTGCTAGTTGCCCTAAAAACCAAATGCACCTGCAGCCAGCCTCCATTTATATAGCTTTTCAGGCCCAGGGTCTGCAGACCTGGTGGGAAACTCGTGGAGCTGAGAGAGATGATTAGTCTCCAAACACATCAGAAGTTACTGCGAAGGGGAAGGAATCAGCTGCTGTGTAGGTCATCTGGGGGCAGGGCAAGGAGCCGCAGCAGCAGCAGCAGCAGCGGAGAATTAGGTTAGACCATGGGGAAACTCCTTCAACCTGCAGAGAGCAAAGCTCCAGAATCAGCTCCCCAAGCAGGTTGCAGTACCTCCACCAAGGGAGGTTTTGAGGACAGGTGGAGCAGGTATTTGGCAGAACTAGAATGCATCAAGCAGATTCTGCCTATTTTCTCCAAGTCTGTGGTTACAGGCACGTGCCTGGCAGTAAAACCCACTGTGGCCTCAGCTCTAAGGAAAACTAGATGAATAGAAGCCTGTGTTACATGGTCAGTGCAGCAGAACAAACACACCAGGCCACATTCATTGTCCATGGGTTACCAGCCCTCTGCAATCTTGCTTGCAGCAGGGCTTTGGTGCAGGGAGGCAGGACTGACCTCTGCATGTTCATTTTGAACATGAAGGCCAGCTGCAACCTCCAGCCCAGGCCTCGGTCTGGTGGAATTTTCTGGGCTGAGGTATGTGCTCAAGTGCCCTGAACACTTCCCTCCCCAGGCAGTGCCGTGCGCACTAGAAGCAGTTTGGGGCAATGCAAGGGAGAGCATGCCCATCTCAGGGGCTTGCTCATTCATTGGCATGAAAGCAACGCCCCATTGCCTAGGCAGGCTCCCCCACTCCAGGCTTGCTGTAGCTCTGGGGTCCCATGGGGCACTCATGTCACCACCTCTGGGACCGAGTGGGCCTTCCCTCTTCCTAGCAGACATGTTGTTCTGCCACCTGCACAAGCCTGCCTGTGGAGCTGCTCTTCAGCCCATCCAGCTCCCCAGCATGAGCCTCACAGCTGTCACCCTGTGAGCTAAGGAACTGGATTTCCCCCCCATAATAGAGGTGTGCCCACTGAGTCACAAAGACTTGCCCAAAGTCCTGCCATGAATCACTAGCAGAGCTGAGGGTCACTCAGCCCCATTCTTTACCAGCCAGACCTCCCTGCTGAGCCCCTTGGGCAGGCTGACTTGAGCCACAAGTCACACCTAGTGCCAAAGTGTTGCTTGGTGCATGGATAGTGCTGAGCTGCTGAGGGCCCTCTCTCCCCAGCCTCTCTGCATTTCTCTCTGATTTTGAAGATCAAAGGCCCTAGCTTCCTACTGCCTGCAGACAGCTCTTCCTCAGCCCTCTCCGTCTCCAGACTCCACACTGGGGGACAGTACATTGGGATATGATCTCCTCCCGCTCCCAAACATACCCTGAGAGGTATTCTGCGCCTCCCAGCTCTATGCTCAGCCCCAACTCAAGCTCTGAGAGTTGGAAAGAGCAACTGCCCCAGATCTTAGGCACTTCTCCCTCAGCCCAGCTGCACTCACTCAACCCATCACCCTCCAAAGAAAGTGCTCCCCCCTCTGCCCTCACTCCTCCTATACCCTCTGCCCTGTAGTGCTTTGGTCCCAGCCTGCCCCACTCTGGGCTCTGCTGCACTGAGAGGAGACACCTGTGTATGTAGGTGTGTAGAGAGGTTAACCACATCCTTGCCAGGCCTCAATCAAGCCAAGCTCTGCCTTTTGCCCATTTGAGGGAGGGGGCCCTTATCTGGCTTCTGCACTAACGCAGGAGCCTTACAGGGTCCTGGGTTCAGTACATAGGATGGCTTGGAGGGCTTGCACTAATTACTGGGGCACCTGCCTGCTGGTATAAGAGGTATATTTGGGGATAAAGGTGGTGGTATTAACCCTGTTGTCAAACCAGAGTTACGGGAAATAATGCACTTAGCAGTTCCCTGCAAGGGGACCACAGGCTTTGAGGCAAGTCCCACACCTCCTTCATGCCTCCGTTTTGCTGCCTGCATGTTGTGGGTAAGAGCACTTGCTCAAAGTGACAAATGCCTCCACCGTCCTCCCATGCAAGACACCATCTCCATGGACTATTTATTAACAGCTCACAGCTTTTTGGTGCCAAATCCAGTGTGCCTGGCATGGTTGGGGGGTGCCTGTGTGCCTCTCTGGACACAAGCCCTGGGTGAAGTAGTGTTCGCTTCCCTTCGGAGCACCTATTGCACCCCCAAGATCCACAGGGAGATAATTTCCGGGGGAGTAAAGTGTTTTCACCATCTGTGTGTCCTATAGTCAGCCCTACATGAACAGCACATAACCCTTCACTTGGCCTGAAGCACATATGAAGTCCACTGTGAAGATGCAGTGCCACATCAAATATCTTCAAAGGAATCCTTTGCTGCTAAGGGGATTCTTTAGCCCCAACGTGGTTAAGACAACAGGCAGCAGTTGGCTTTATCACTAGTAGTTATTCCCTGACTGGCAGGCTGGCACTTTACATGGAGCAAGCAGGAAGCTGAGAGCAGCTAGTTAAGAAACTGGAGGAAAATCAGCCTTTACCTCTTAACAGGAGGCACCATGGTGGAGGGTTCGGTCGGATATCATTCAAGATTGGGCTTGGCAACAAGATCACTGAAAACTAAAAATTCCCAAAAAACTAATTACCTTAAACTGCCGGTGAACTCCAAGTTAGGAAAATTTATCCTGAGCCTTTGCCAGGAAAGAAAATATTGTTTCCATTCATGCACTCAAGGGGCCAAGGATAGGCTGCAGCACTTGGTTGACGGTTGGAGCTTGAGATGGAAGAGGAAGAGCCCTTTTATACTGCAGACCAGGACATGTGCCAGGGCAGGGCTGGTACCTGCAGTCCCTGTTGTGCTGTTTTGGGCAGCCCAGCTCCAAGTCTCTGAAGCCATGGGGCTTCCACTGCTGCCCACGGGCTACTGTATTTCAGCACATGGCCAAGAAGTGGTTTGTGATGCTTCAGCTAATTAATTTGGGAGGATGCTGGTCTTGCTGGTAACTGCCTGAACTGGGGCTCAGGGAACTGAGCCTGCTTCCCAGTGCTGCCACTGGGGCCCTGTGAGGCATGTATGGGCCATCTGCATGCTTCTGCAAGGCTCCTAAGGGCACCACTGCTGGGGAGAATGCCTCCCTGCTCCCGCCCATGCCCAAGCAGGAAATGGGGTGCCACGGCCCTGCTCCCGCATGCTGTGTTCCTAGCCTAAGGAGCCCAGGCACAGCCTAAGATCAGTGCAGCTCAGCTGCTTCCCCTTCCAGCCTGCAGAGCCACCTGGCCTCTTTCAGGGTTTCAGGGTTGCCACCCCTCACTGGAAAAGAGCTGCCATTGCACAAAGCCTGGCTTCAAGCAGGGGGAGCTCTGTTGAGGAGGGAGGGCAGTGGCAGGCTCTTTGCTTGTTGCCCCAAGTTTTCTGACAGGGTGGAGCAATGAGAAGGAAGGTGGCTGTAAGGGAAAGCCTTTCCTGGGCTCACCCCTGTGCAGCAGAGTAAGCTGGGCACCATCACGCAGGCTTTTTCTTCCCACCTTGCTGCCTGCAGCCCACCCATTGCAGCATGTCCTGGCACATCCACGCAAGGAGCCAGCTGGCACTGTGCAGCTCCTCTTGCTCCCAGTGAATTGCTGGGAGCCCAATGCAATGCTGCCTGTTCCAGCATGTTGCAACAATCCTTCCTTCCTTCCCCTCTCTCTCTATATTCCCTCAGACCTGAGAGAGGAGGCACGCCTCAGCACAGGGTGGTGCCCCAGGGGGCAGCCCAGTGACCTTGGCAGAGATGTGGGTTAGTGGGGGAGAACTCAATGAGCTTCCAGCTGGGCCAAAGTCTTGTCTCCATGTCCAGCATGGACAGAGCCTGATCCATGGAGACAGGCTTAGACAGATCCTCTCCCACAAACCCAGTTGTATCCTGGCTGCCGCAGCATTCAGTTCTGCTGGTGGGTTTCTTATTGGAAAAGGAGCTTTGTTTCTATCTAAGGCCCTCTTATATGCCTGCAGGCAAAGGTGCAATGGGATCTAATGCATGATCCACAGAATCGTGCCTCCTGCCATGCCACATGTGCATGGCAGGAGGCATGATTGTGGGACTGTGCATTAGATCCCATTGTGCGTTATGGCTGGTGCAGGGGGAGCACCGATCCTGGGCTTCCCCTGCACCAGCAAAAGGAGCAAGGTCCTGTGGCTGGGATTCCCCTCAGTTGAGGGGCTCTCAGCTGTGGGGAAGCTCCACATACCCCCAGGGCTGGCGGATTGGGGCTGCTGCATATGTAGCTACTTTGCATGTGTAGCTGGTCTTAAGGTAACTGGACTTAATTAATTGCACAATACCTGTAAAGTGAGGGGGGAGGGCTATAATTGCTGTTATTTTTCTTTGCCTTACTGGGGCAGGCAGGAGACAGTAGCCAATGCACAACGGTTCTGCCCTTCTCCAGGGCCCTGCAGGGCTGTGGGCTGGCCCAGGCAGAACAGGGGGAGAACGAGGCTCCAGGGGCTCCTTGCCTTCGCTCTCCCTATGGTTGTGGAAGGGGAACAGTTACCCTTCTCTCCTGCCCAGGGCTGCGGGCTCAGCTCTCCCCTTTCTGTTCTAGTACTCCCCGCTCCTGAAGAAGCTCTACTGCCAGATTGCCAAGACATGTCCCATCCAGATCAAAGTGTCCACGCCACCTCCGCCAGGCACCATCATTCGTGCCATGCCTGTCTACAAGAAGGCAGAGCATGTGACCGAGGTGGTGAAGCGCTGCCCCAATCATGAGCTGGGCCGTGACTTCAATGATGGTGAGTGCTGGCCCCTGCCCCTGAGTCATGGAGCAGCCATGCAGCGAGGCCTGCATGAGACGGCAGTTACCCTGGGGGGCATCTCACCCTGATAACGTGTCTCTCAGAGCTTCAGGAGGGTCAAGCCAGGCACTAAGCAAGGCATGGAGCCACATGGCACCTGGTGTCGGGGGTCTGGCTAGGCTGAGTTAGTTTGAGGCCCTGCTGTGTGAAGCAGACTGCTCTGTTGTGAGACTGAAGTGAAATCACCATGTTCTCTCCCAGTTGTGCCTGCTCCTGGCAGCACCAGGCTGGACGGGCAGCCCAGGATGCCAGCAGCAATTGAGTGCCCAGAGCTGGAGTCAGCACCAGCAGGAGGCACAGGACCTGCCCTTGCCCCAGCCTCCCTGTGTTCAGATCACCTTGTGATCAAGCCAGCAGCCCCTTCTTCACGTAGGCTAGCCCACAGGCCCTTCCTCTCATGGCACTTTGTGTCTTCGCAGGCCAGTCCGCTCCCGCGAGCCACCTCATCCGGGTGGAGGGCAACAACCTTTCGCAATATGTGGATGACCCTGTCACAGGGCGACAGAGTGTGATGGTGCCATACGAGCCACCACAGGTACTCACGTGTGCGATGAGGAGTGAGCCAGAGGAAAGGGGGACCATATTGTACTTAAACTGTGGAGTCGTGAGGCTGGAAGGGGCCCAGCCCAGCCCCTGCACACAGCAGGACTTGTGGTCCCTGAACCGCCCCTCCAGCCTCTGGGTGGAAGGCAGTTCCCGGCTCCTGGGCTGCCCTCAGCCCCAGTGCTCTGACAGCCAGGGGCTTTCCCCAAGATGAATTAAATCTGCTTTGCTGCAGTTTAGACTTACCACAGGTTTCTCTACACCCCTCTGAACCCGTGGTGCCCTGAACTGGCCACGGTTCTTATGTTCCTGCACGTTCCAGTTGTTCCCAGCATCTTACGGCATCTCAGCAATGACCCCACCCTGTGTGCCAAGGGTCCTGGCTGCTCCACTGCAGCTGCCAGCTAATACCCCTTCTGCTGTGAGCTTTCCGGGCTGATTTATTGCTGCTGGGGCTTCTCCCTGCATTGGCTTGCCCAAAGCATCTCCCCTAAATTTCCTGCAATAGTGGCACAGTTTTGTGCAACCTCTTGTCCAGCTGTAAACTCCTCTGGCTAAGAAGAAAACCAAGGCAGGCTAATGGAAAGTTTAGAGCACCCCCTGTTGTCCTATTTGCACACTTGCCAGGTCCCATTCCAGCTGCATCTCTTCCAGTTCAATGCATGAAGCACTTTGGGGGCTAAGGGCCCTGAGCCAGTAACCCAGCCTCTGCTCCCAGGGACAGGTCTCAGCTCCAGAATCAGGACTCCATTCTTTGTGCCTCCCCCACACATGAACCACCCCCTCTGAGAGCTGCTCCTTGCACCCCTCTGGCAGCAGCCTGGAGCTTTGTGGACCGCTGCCACCTCGCTCTGCCCCAGCCAGACGTTCAGTCCCATGCTCAGTGCATCCTCCCTCTCTTGATGGCAGGTGGGGACGGAGTTCACCACCATTCTGTACAACTTCATGTGCAACAGCAGCTGCGTGGGAGGCATGAACCGGCGCCCCATCCTCATCATCATAACCCTGGAGACGAGAGAGTGAGTCTTCTTGAAGGACAGGAGGCTGCAGACCAGGGCAAGCTCCTGGCAGCAGCTGAGATGGAGGGCGCTGAGGGGCTTCCATGGCTGGGCAGTTAGCGAGTGGTTGGATCCATAGCAGGAGAGCAGGATACACATAGCGCTGGCCTGCACTCCCTGCAACAGAGTGCGAGACCCCCCGCACCACACTGGATGCATGCGCAGTGCCCAGCGCCTTGTGTGGAGAGACATGCACAGGGCGACTTGACCTCCCAAAGAGAATAAATGCCAGGAGTGTGGGGGAGGGTGGTTCCCATGGAGGGAAAGGGGAAAACAGGTGTGGGCTGGGTGCCTTGCCTGTAATCATTCCTGTTAGTTTTTTAAGCTTTTAAAATAATTAATCAGTGTGAAGTCAGCAATAGGCCCCCTGCCTTGCCCTGCCCCCTCTCCCATATTAGATGCAGGCTCATTATCCCCCTGGAAGTAATACACAGATCCTCACCGCTCCCCCCTACGTCCCCAGTGGGCAGGTGCTGGGCAGGAGGTCATTTGAGGGCCGGATCTGCGCCTGCCCAGGCAGGGACCGGAAAGCTGATGAAGACCACTACCGAGAGCAGCAAGCCCTGAATGAAAGCGCAGCCAAGAACGGCAATGCCAACAAGCGCAGTGAGTCCTGTCCCCACCGGGCTACGGCAGGCTGTGAGTGAGAGCTGGACTGCTGCATCCGTTTGCTGGCTCCTGGACTGTTTTTCCCTCAGTTGGGCCTGTTAGCAACCCCCCGCCCCTAGCAAGGGGCTTCCCCCTTTGGTGCTCGGGTCGGAGGTGGGGGGAAGGTTGGGGCTGGGGCTGGGACCCGTGATGGGCAGACTGGGTTTGATTCCCCACTAACGCTGCCTCCCATTTCTGTTCTCAGCTTTCAAGCAGAGCCCCCAGGGGATTCCCGCACTGGGGGCTGGCGTCAAGAAGAGGCGGCATGGGGAGGAGGAGATGTATTACGTTCCTGTAAGTGTTGCTTGCCCGTGCCCCTGAGCAGAAGGATCAGGGCACCCCAGGAGGGGCCCTGGGGTTCACAGGGCAAGAGTGGCAAGGCAGTGTGCTACCTGGCTGGGGGACAAGGCCCCATTAAGGGGCATCCACCTGGCCTGATGTTGAGGACAGGGCGTTTTCTTCAGCTCTGCCCAGCAAGGACTAATGAGGCCTGAGTTGCTTGCCGAAGTCCTGAGGATGGCTCTCCCAGATGCACAGAGCCCCAGGCCGCTGCTTGCCAGGCTTGCAGCCAAGGCCGTTCTAAGGGGGGCGTGCATACCGGCTGTGCACAGAGGCTCTCTGGAAACCTGAGGAGACCAGAGTAAACGCTTCTTCCCTGCACAGGTCCGGGGCCGCGAGAACTTCGATATCCTGATGAAAATCAAGGAGAGTCTGGAGCTGGTGGAGCTGGTGCCACAGCAACTGGTCGACTCCTATCGGCAGCAGCAGCAGCAGCTCCTGCAGCGGCAGTAAGTACCAGGGGCCTCCCAGAAACAGGCTGTGACCTGGGATCAGCAGTGGCAAGCTGAGCAGCGGGGCTCACAAAGGTTGTGGGAAGCCAACCTGGCCCAGGGCCCTTGGCTATGATGAGCTGGCTGTAGGTTGACAGAGCTCCCACATCCCAGACCCCACCCAGGAGTCACTCACAGCGGGCAAGGATGGGCAGGGACATTCCTTGCTCTGTCTCCAAGGGTTTGCTCTCTCTCTCCTTGGCTAACTGTGGCCTTGCCATAGCTGGGGAGCAGGTAAAGTGATACAGGTGTTTAGGTCTTGGCCTTTCTCCATACCATTTTATGCTTGCAGGCCACTCTACACCCTGAAAGCCCAAAGCCCTGTACAAAGAGATGGGTATCCCTTCTCCCCTCCTCTCAAATAATTACAGAGAAGCCCTCACACTGAACAGAGATGAGGAAAGGCGAGTGAGTATAGCACATTGTAGGAATAGCACCCAGATGCCCCATTCGGGTCCAAGCTTCTGGGCTGCAGGGTTTCTTCTCTGTGCTCCCCTAGTGATGGGGGATAGTTACTGGCCAGGAGCTTTCCCACTGGCTGATGACCAGTATGCCTGTAGCAGCAGCAGCAGCCAGCTCCACCCTACAGTGACAGCCACAGGAGGGTTTCAGGCTCTATTGCTTGCAAAGCCTCTGTCAACGTACTTGCCTAAGGCTGCATGACCCATGAGGGCACTAGCAGAAAGGAGGCATGCCTGAGGTCTCACACCAGGCAGGGCATCTGACCGTGGGCACCTCCCTGCCTCTGCATCCCTTGGCAAGGGAAGTACCTTACAGGCTAGACAATGAATCACAGAGTCCCAAAGACAGTGATGCCATACAGAGGCTGAATGTTCATGTCACTTCAAGCAGCCCTAGATGTACTAAATTAAAAGACAGCTCTTCTTCAAAAAGTCATCACCAGCCAGCTTGCACTAGTGCAGCTCAGCCCAGTCCAGCCCCAGTGTAAATCGTGTTGACAGCAAGAGTCTGCCTGGATGCAGCTGTACTGCTGGCTCCGATCCACCTCGGAGTCTCCGCAGTAACAGCCCAGACTGACCGTCTTGCTGTTCTCTCTGAGCAGGAGTCACCTGCAGTCCCCTTCCTCCTATGGGCCGGTCCTGTCGCCGATGAACAAAGTGCACGGAGGAGGCATCAACAAGCTGCCGTCTGTCAACCAGCTGGTGGGGCAGCCCCCCCAGCACAGCTCCAATTCTGGGCCAAATCTTGGGCCAATGGGTAAGGCTTCACCTGGGCACAACAGCCCTCAGAGGCCAACAGGCAGGGACAGACAGCAGCCCTGACACTGGGGACAGCAGTACACAGCCCGCAAAGCCAAGCTCTGGCAGAAAAAAACCCCTCGTCCCCACCTCCAAACTCGAGGCCAAAGCAGAGCTGGTTACTGTGTTAACTTATGGCATAGAGAGGGAACTGCACAGCCCAGTATAATCTACATCAGCTTTGTAGTGGGATCAGGAAGGGAGAGAAGTTCAGCTGTCCTGTGGAATCGCATCTGCTGGGCCTCACTGCTAGAGGGCAGGGGAGCAGGTAAAAAACTTGTTTGCCTTTAGCTGTTTACCCCATGATGGCTGTGGACAGCACCTCAGCCAGTGTAACTTCAGTTTTACCCCCAATCCTATCTGTTGGCTGTCCAGGCATGCATACTGCTAGCACAGCTCGTCAGCCTGGACCAGGCTTCTCACACAACCAGATCTGCAGGAGCCTTGGTCGAGCAATGCTCTGCAGGCCCGAGGGGGCCATACTGTAACTACTTGGCTCCAGTAGCTTCCCCAAAGGCAAGCGGGGCCTGGAGCTCTTTCAAGTGCAGGAGATCACTGCACTTGAAGTTGACCTACTCCTACACTTCTGCATAGCAAGGGCATTGGGCTCGGGGAAGGACAGTGCCAATCCAACCTCTGTGGCTCAGATTTGAGTAGACCAGACACTCACTCTCTGCCATTTTTACCCTGAGGACTGCTTGTGAGAGAGACTCCCGTCAGCTGTACCTCCTGCTCTCTCTTGCACACAGGGCCTGGAATGATAAATAGTCACCCCATGCAAGCCAATGGAGAGATGAATGGAGGCCACTCATCTCAGTCGATGGTCTCAGGATCCCATTGCACACCTCCGCCGCCCTACAACCCAGACCCCAGCCTTGTCAGGTAGGGAAGCCACCGACTGTGTCTTGTCTTTGCTGTTTTCCTTAAGCTAACTTTCAAATATCTGTCTCACAACTGGTCAACTGGCCACTGGTTCCAACTGAGAAATCACTGCTCATGAAGCTGCACACTACTCTTCTAGCCTCCCTTCACCTCACCCAGCCAGCTCCCCATTAGGAATACAAATTGCTAATGCAGATTCCCACTTTGTTCATTAAGTTTAACGCCTCATAGCAGGATGGGCATGAAAAGGCACCTTCCCTCCCCATCAAAAACCAGCATCTGCCTTTACTGATCCTCCTCCTTCCCTTCAATACCTACCTTTGCAGATTTTCCTCTTCCCCTGTCCTTCCTGGCAGTCACTGGAAATTGCTGTAAATGGTTTATCTCTACTAGGGACAGGTTAATTTACAGAGGTAGATATTTGATGCTTGTAGGAGGATTTCAGAGGCTTCCCCAGATGCTCTTCAGACTCCATGAGGTAGCAGGGCCTCAAACTCCAGAACTGCAGCCACATACTGTCTGGAGAGAATGCCAAAGTGGTCATTGGAGAGAGAGGCTGTTGCTGTCCAGGACATGTTGGATGGATCCAAGTGCAGCCCCCTCCCTTACTCAGGGTAGCCCAAGCAGTACCCTGGAGTTGCTTCATTTCACTGAACATTGAAACCATGATTCCACAAGCCTCACTTCTCCAATATTAATGCTTAGGGAGTTAGCACCTCCCATCTAGAGCATCCCCAAGGAAACTGGCTAGGCATTCAGGTTATTCTTAGATGGGATTCATTGCTACACCATGATTTTTGCTTCCCACCATATTATGGGAAGAGTTGCCAAATCTGTAGAAGAAGGAAGCCTGCTGCCCTCCTCCGGCCCTCCTGGAGTTCACATAGGTTTTGTCCCAGTAATGACAGGTGAGAGCTCAGAATGTGAACTGAAGACGTTAACACCGCTTTATTTTCCCAATTCTTTCTGCAGTTTTTTAACAGGACTGGGGTGTCCAAACTGCATCGACTATTTCACCTCCCAAGGGTTACAGAATATTTACCACCTGCAGAACCTAACCATAGAGGTAAATGCTTTGGGGAGCTCTGTTCTTACCACTTATTTCTATTGGCGGTTGATCTCAAAGGCAGGGACAAGGAATGCTTTTGAAGGAAAGGACACAGAGGTACATTAACCAGCCCTACCAGCTTTATATTCCCCAGGGTTTATACCTCCCAGTTACAAAGGCTTTCTAACCCCTCATTTGGAAGAACAGTAGGGCAACCCATAGGGGAAACTGTGGTCTTCTGTTGATTTGTCCAGGCTGCAGGAAGCAAGACCTGCTATACACACAGAATAAAGGGAAAGAAATACCCTCCTTCTCCTCACTTGTTCTTTTAAAAAAAATAGCACAGGACTCAGCAATCAGATGCCAGAGAGATTTCCCCTAACTATGGTAACTATGGCTGCTGCAAAGATTTCCCCTTAAGGACTGGTTCAAAGCCTACTGAGTCAACAGAAGGATTCATGTTTGACGTCAGCGATCTTTGGGTCACGTTGGTCAGGCCCACTTCTGATGTGATGTCTGCCCATGCAAACTGGGAGAAACTCTCAGCCCCAGGGAATTGTGTACTGAGGTTGGAACAGGTTCCTTGTATTTCATGCCTGAACATTTCAGCCCCAAGGTTGGATATCAAGATGCATGATGCCCTAGCTTATGCTGTGATTCAGCCTGCCACGTTGGAGCATGATGAATTCTTCATAGTATATTTCTGGGCTGAAGGACTATCTATGGAGGGAGGAGCAGTCAGCTCTGTGCAAAGCTTTCCTTCCTTTGTTGTGGAAAAGCCCTGTTCACTCAGCTGGCTGTGCAGCACAGGGCTCCCTTAGTTTATTAAGGCAATCTGAATGTGCACCCTTTGTTGACCCTTTACACCCACAACAGACTCAGATAAGCCCCAGCCTCAGTATTCTGGCCAAGTCCTGCTAAAATGGTGGCCCTGATCCCAGGTCTTTCCTACGAAGTGTGCTACAATGCCATCTTCAGTCTGATTGTTAGGACCCGAATGACAATACAGATGTCATGCAGACACAATGATTTTTCATTGGTAGCTGGGGCCAGTTGGATAACCTTAGACTAGCTTTGGAATGTGTTAATAACTAACCTCCAAGAGTGAATTTTTTTAACCTTTTGAAACCCCTACATATAGCATGGTTGAAACAATACGTCACACATTGCGGAGCCATGTGTCCAAGTCGATGTTTAACCCCTTGTTGCTATGCTAGCTAGTTAACTCCTGTGCAAGTCTGCTTTTGGTGCTAACATGGATCTCTAGCAGCTCTACACTGCATCTAACACACCATGGGTTGGGTACATGTGCTGAGGCAGCCTCCTGCAGGCACAGCCCATGTCCGACATAATCAGGCTACATATACCGTGACATCTATAACATTTCTTGTGCATTGTAAAGAATGCCCCTCACTGCCCATGGTGGCAGAGGGTGGCATATGGGAACCCTATGGGCACAGGCTAGTGCCACAGCACAGGCCTGGAGGTCATTCAGAGCCTTGCATGCTGCTCAAGGCAGCTTCTGCCCAAGCTGTCAGCCCCTGGGGTCTGGATTGGGGTTCATAGCTCTTAACCCAAATCGTGAACAGACAAGAAATGGAAGGTTGCAGGCAAACTGGGCTGAGGGCTCCCAGTATCAACCTGACCATTCTCATGCTGCTCTGTCATTCGCAAGATGAAGGAACCCAGTCCCATCCCACCCCTCTTTAAAAATAAATAATAATCCCAGTTAAACCATTTCCCTTCCCCAAATTGCACGCCTTGTTGCCTGTCCATTGTCACCTCCAAGGACCAGATCTGGTCCCAATTGAGAAATCACTGCTTATGGAAACAATGGGGGCCATGACTCAAACTGTGGGGGATGATGCAGAGCCAAGATAACCTCATGTCTCGAGTGCAGCGGGGTTGGCAAGATGGTCAATTGACTGCATATTTTTTGACCGGTGCAAGATTGTAGCAATTTTACAAAAAAAACTTTTGTAGTTTTCTTGACAGAAATATGATTGTTTTTTGACACATTTCTTAATGGAAACCTTGTGCTTTTCCTGTGTAGTAGTTGGACCTATTGGCAATTTTTTACAATTTTTAACTCATATTTGACCTGTCAGTTGACTAAACTTTATTTGACTCGTCAAATACTCAACCCAAGACTACAGGCCCTCTGAGCTATGGTCACAGTAGCCCCCAGGCTTGCCCTGCCCTTATTTGTGACTGCTGCTTGGCCAAGACAAACCTTACCGTTGTTGATGTTCTAGGATCTCGGAGCACTGAAGATCCCAGAGCAGTACAGGATGATTATCTGGAGAGGCCTTCAGGAACTCAAGCAGAGCCACGACTATGGGGCCCAGCAGCTCATCCGCTCCAGCAGTAATGCCTCCACCATCTCCATCGGCAGCTCTGGCGAGCTCCAGCGACAACGCGTCATGGAGGCAGTGCATTTTCGTGTGCGCCACACCATCACTATCCCTAATCGCAGCGGGGCCGATGAGTGGGCGGACTTCGGCTTCGACCTCCCGGACTGCAAATCCCGCAAACAGTCCATAAAAGAAGAGTTCACAGAGGGAGAAATCAACTGAAGGTCTCTGCAAGCACCGGCAGCAAGAGACCAGACACAGAGGTTTAAAGGAACAGAAAACCAATCATAAAAAATGGCAAAACTCTTCCAGCTTTAAGTACGTGGAGAACATGCGCTCAGTCGCATGAGGGAACCTGGGTCTGGCCATTGGTTAGATGCCCTTTACAGGAGGGAAATTCCACTGGCTTTGTGATAGGATCGAGGTGAGGAAAGGAGCAGCTGAGACACAAACAGGCACTCCAAATAGGCTGTAGAGATGCCACAGCTGCCTGAAGCAAAGGAATATTCACTTGCTAACGTACAGGGCTACCTTACAATTTCCCTGACAGTCTTCATATCAAACGAATGCAATGTAAAAGTAAAACGTATTCTTTTCTTAAGAACAGTCCCCTTCCTACCCTACCTCTCCCTACTCTGTCTGTTTAGCAGTGCCCAACTCTTTGAGACCTCGGTCTCTGTGAAAACGGGTTCAGCACCTGAAATGTTCTGCTCATGTTAGGGATACCTGCTGTTGACTGATGTATGACAAAAGGACATGCTTTCCTGATGGACTGCCAAAAAGTATTTGTTTCCTTTCGTTCTTTGTAGAGCAGAAAAGAAATTTATTTGTTGATTCCAGACTATGTGCATGTATCTAAATGACATGTGTGTATATGGACAGACATACCTTGTATATACAGTAAGCTCATTGTGCTGTTAAAGTTAAAGAAAGATTTATTTTCATGTATGCTACAAAAAAAAATTGATAATTACCCCCAAGACACTCCAGTGTCATAAATTAACTTCATGCTTTTGACACACAAACAGGCAGAAAGCTGCTATATTTCAAGTCTTATCTTAAGCATTCAAAGGGTTTTTCTTTTAATCTTTAAACAGTTTTTTGTTTGATTCTGAGGGAGAAAGGGCAAATCCATTCACTTAAACCCCCCAGTCTAAAATTTTTCCATAAAGTGTTGCTTAGAGTTCCTAATATTTGCAGGGCATGGATTAATTATAGTCTTGATCATTATCCCATAAAAGGAAAAAACCTGTTTTCCCAAACTACTGATAACTGTCTCTGTTCGATGGAGAGGTTTCCTTTTCACCATCTGAAGGTAGGGCTGTTTTTATTTCTTCCCAGTGCTTCCCTAGGCACAGGGGTCCAGATGATTTGCCTCATGTCTTTGTCTGTCTCCTGACTAAATTCAACAAGATACGCAGCAGGAAATGCGAAGATGCATGCAGATGTTTTGTGCCGGCAAGTGGCACAAAAAAGACATTCTGTGGGTGCGACTGGCAGTGCCCTTCCAAGCACAGTAGAGGCTACCAGTGATGGCAGAGAAGGCTGGTGGTGCCATTCAACATCCTGTGTACCCTCTCATTCCAGGACTGGTCTGTAACTGAGACAGCCCAGAGGACCGGGTTGTCTCAGTAACCTCCAGGGCTGCCATACTGCCCAGAATCTATTCAGAGCTGCAGCTCTGCCTGTAGCATATCCCTTAACCTCAGCCTTGTAAGGGGGTGCTCAGAATGCAACCCCATAGCTATTTACTCTTTGTGCTTACACCACAAAAATTATCCCCCAGCCTGACAGTGCTTATGGAGTTCATTGATACTGCTCTGGGCTAAAATATATCTCACCAACATGCGCTGGGCTTCAAACAACTTTTGCCTTCCCTTACGCATCAAGGGCTGGTCCTCATTCAGGATGGAGCCCCACGAGGAAACTGAGCTGTATCTGCCAATGCCAGGAGAGCAGCAGGAAAAAAAGAGCTCCTTCAGCATCTCTGCTTGTTCTTCTCCACTGGTGGCTCAGGGGCTAAGGCACATAGGATGCATGGCTAGGGGCCATTGTTCTGACCCTTCTGAACCATTTGCCCCATTTTCACTGGTTTCTCCCCCAGCCCACAAACCTCTGTGGCTGAGAGTAGCCAACCCCCATTTGACAGCTCCACGCTTGTGTACATTGTCCTTACTCTGCACCAGGACTCTGGGGCTCACCAAGAAAGCAACACACACTTGTAAGTAACAGCTGATTAAAGCACTTTAATGCTTTAAGATTTTTAAATAATCCTTCATGTTTTCAATGTTAACTAATGCTTTTTCCAGCAGTATTATAAGGTATATTCCACCCCTGTTATTAACGGTATTTTTTGTAATGTTATCTTTGGAAAATGTGTTATTTTTATAGCTGTGGTTTTTGTTTTGTTTTTTTGTAACGCAATAAAGCCCAATGTCTGAGCTATGTGTGATGGATACGTGCTCCTGCCTTAGTTTCCAACATGGCAAACTGCATGCTACAAGCCAGAAATGGCCTGAAGTTTAAATAGGAAACACAAATCCTTTGTTGTGGAGCAAGCAGCTATTAAAGAACAGTTCTCCAAAGGACAAAGCTACTTGCCAAAGCAAAATTATAGCTCAAAACAGTCCTTCAGAGCCTTAAGAGAGTAGCTTGTGAGCTCCCACCATTCAAAACAAGAATTGCCATCCACCATGGCTACCCACTGCTATTTTGGGAGAAGCTGTGGATGAATAGTAGTTAGCACACGCAAAGCCCCTCCTCATTTCTATACAGGCTTAAAAGACGTGTTCTGTCTTAGATATGCAGAAACATATCTGAGGCCTTTCTTAGCAAACCTGCATTTAGAAAGGTGAACTTTAGAAAAATATATTAAAACATTCACTCAAAAAACAAATATCAACAAAAGAAAAAATATATTTTCTTTTAATAAGTAGCTACCTGGGTTTCATTCACAGAATGTAGGTTGTGTTGTGTTTTTCACTGTCTTTCAAATAAATGACCAAAAAGATATAGTATGAAAGAAAGAGTAGCATTTATCATTAATACACAGCTTTTCTCAGGTTTGGGGGAAAAAAAAAAATCACACTGTTTAAAACAATTTCCACAAGAGAACTGTGCTTAGTTATAAATGGTACAACTATTCCTAGTTTTAGTAATGTATACCGCATATATAAAAATTAAATTGACAGTAAAGACTATTTTTCCGGAGAAAAATTCAATACGTATAGCTACCAACACATTCAATGCAAGAATGTTGTTTTAATACCATTTAAAAAAAAAACACCTTTTTTCCAAATCTTGAAAACCAGGGTCTGAGCAATACAGATCAGAATAAAATAGTCAAATATATACATTTGCAGTAAGTTCAACATAAGAATAAAAAGGTACAAATAACCTGGTTCAAAGCAGACTTGCCTGTTGTGGAAGGCACTATCATTTTCTGTGATGCATAATCACAATCTGCTAGACCAGTGGTTCTCAACCTTTTTAGACTTGAGGCACCCCTGGGAAAATTTTAGCTTATTTTTTTTGACCTTAGAAAGACCACAACTTTGGATTTCTATTTGAAATCTCTTTATTTAATGCAGTACTAACCCTGTTTGTAAATGTAACAGTGCTAAAGTTGTGTGGTACCCTGTGGCACTCTTGAAAGGATCTCAAGACATCCCAGGCACCCCGATTGAGAATCACTGTGCTAGACAAAACAAACAAACAACCCTCCCAAAAAAACTTTCTTAAAAACCTGTGTATCGGACTCCCTCCCCCACTCAGGGCAAAGGAACTGCAAATCACTGCCCTACAGAGAAACCCCGAAGCACAGGAGTTTGCAAGGAAAACAAAACTGCTTATACACAGCCTTTCCTAATGCACTGTAAAATCCAGGTGACATCTCCTAGTAACAGATGTTGTACAGAGCTCCCGCACAGATATCCACAGAAGTATTTTGAAACATAAACCTTTATTTATTTTTAATAGTGATGCACTATTCAGATTAGAAATGCCCAAGGGTATGGTTGTGCTCTGTGTGACAGTCTAAGCCCACAAAAATCTTTCATCACTAACACTACAGCCACAATGACAGGAAATCTCTCTGCCAGCTTTGCCCTCCCCTAAAGAAGTAGATGCATACTCCTCAGCTACTATGTATTTCAAACTTATAGCAAAGACCAGAACACAAAGTTCCAGAAACGTGCAACCTGTAAGGGGGTACATACAACACAGTATGGGGTGTGCGGCATGGGCCATACAGGTACCTTTGTTTCCTCATTTTGAGCATCACAGTTTCATCTCATTTACGAAGCTGCCACAAGAGATTAATTGCACAGTCTTCACAACCATAAAGGATTGTTTCTATTTCCTTACCACATCGCAATCAGCATCAGGGTGGTCTGCTACCAAGAAAACTCTATTCCATTACCTGGATTTGACTCCCTCAGAAAGGAAATGCCAGCATATCCTTACCATGTTATGACCAGCCTCAGGGAAATCCACCGTCAAGGAAATAATATTCCTTAATATGAAAAGGAAATGCCAGTGCAGACAAAGCCTCCATCATTTCTTTTAAAAAACCTGGATAACATCCTCCAAAACATCAGCAACAGGAGCACTGCATGCTTACGGAGTTCAAAACAAGCTCCAAGTTCTGGGCATTGCCAATGAAAATGACAAAACACAACAAGGCTTTTTGTTTTAAGACAACAGTGGAAACATCACTAGCTAGAGAGGTATGCTCTCTAGCAGGTCTCTGGACAGCTCCTTCACTTTAAGCAGCAGTGCACATCACATGATTTCAGTCTTGATTACTGCCACATCTATTGCTTCGTTGCGCAAGTCGACAGCAGATCCGTTCCTCCAGGATTGCTCAGCAGCCGCAGCTACCTGAATCGTCCAGAGAAACTGCTCTTTGGTGATAACAGGGGGTTCATTGCCTGGAAAAGCAAGACTGTGCTACTAGAGGAAGGCAACATTGGTACAAAGAGCATCAGGCTGCAAAACCACAAGTCTGAAGCCCTACTGTCTGCTCTGCTGCAGGTCCTCCCCGAGGCTCTTGAGTCACTTTGCTGCCTTGTGCTTGCTTCCCCCCTTACCCTTTGTCTAGTTCAGCAGTGCTCAACCCCAGTCTGCAGGCACCAGCACCATATCATCTAGTCCACAGGATTCCCCACGCATCCAAAAATTTGGCAGGGGAGGTAGCACCACTCCCTTCCTGCCAAATTTCTGGACCCATGGAGAGCCCTAGGCTCTGTGTGCTAGAATAAATATTAAATACTTTCAGTGTTTCTTCCATTTACCTAGTATATCAAATCCTGCGACCTCCAGGATCTTGTAAAACAAGGCATCTTACACTGTCTTGCCAGATTTCAGTAAAAACTGTTGGTTTCTGATAGTTTAAACTGCCATAAAACCTTATTCAGCCCAACACTAAGTATTGAACACTGAAAATATTATTGTTTTTAAGCCAACTTCTGTGTCTGTGGGCATACACAAATCACCCAGGAGCCCTGCATATACATCCAACAGAAGTTGCCTATTTGCTGGGTTCTGATGCTGCCAGTGCCACCCATTTCAGCATTTTAGCTACCATATGTACTCAAATATAAGACAAGGGGGAAAAGTTCCTTGTCTTGCATTCACATACATGGAAACCTTGTTATATACATTGTCTATCATTTAACTGCTGACAAAAGCAGCATGTGCTCAGTAATGGAAACCAATTCTGAAATTGATTAAAAGCAGCCACACTGAGCATGACTATAAAACACATGGCACATATCGGGCAAATAAAATGATGGGAACCTCACTCCCTCCCCCGCACGTGTGCAGCCCTTAAATAAATAAATAAAAATGGGCAGTTTTTCTCCCTGGAGGGAACAAGCACCAGGCCTGAAGATACTGCAATACAAACCCAGCACCTGGAGAGGCTGGAGCAAGCTCAAACACCCTCCTCTGGTGCCAAAAATGTTGACTTTTGTTTTTTTGGGTTTTTTTGTTACAATTTGTGTGTTTCAGGTCAAATTAGCCAAATCAGTTCTGAAACCTATCAATTACGCAGAAATCAATCATCCAAATCCATGTGGTGCTACTACTGGCAAGTATCCTCTTTCCCACACTTTTCAGTCTGGGGTTTCAGATACTTCCAAAGCCATGGCAGACATCCTACATGCAGGCCCAAACCTGGAGATCTTGGAGTTTGGATGCCCCCAAGTGTTGCTTCCCATAATCAACAGGCCAAAGGAGCAAGCTAGGGGGAAATCTCCCATCTCCATAAAATAGGTATGTAGTCCAGATCATTCCTGGGGGCCCTGCTTGCAGTACAAGGACATGTCTCCACCCTCTATTACACATGGACGTTCAGAGGTCAAGAAGGGGATCTTCCTTTCCAATCACAGCAGGAAACCACCCGGACTTATACCATAGTATCTTTCCTGCCAGTTAAGCAAAAATGACTTTTTTTTTTGGAAATGTTTTCTTCTTCCAGGTCAAACTAGCCAAATCATTTCCAAATCCTCTTAAGCAGCACATAGCTGTTCAAACACCACGTGGTGCTACAGTGGGGAAGTATCCTCTACCCCAGACTTTTCAGCTTGGGGCTTCAGATACTCCCAAATCCAATGGTGGGCATCCTACGTGCAGGCCCAAGCCCAGAGGCTTGGGGTTCGGATGCCCCAGAGTCTCACTTGCTCTTAACCAAAGGCCACAGGAGCAAGCTAGAGAGGAGTCCGCCATTTCCATTAAGTAGGCATGTTGCCAAGATCCTCCCACTGGAAACTGGCCTTGGCCCGTGGGAAGCTAATTACAAAACTCGTAGGGCGCCATGTCTGCAGTGCATTGGACAGGGGTGCACCCTCTACTACACAATGCCATTCAAATCCATCTCGGTTCAGATAACGAATCAGTGCAGTGACTACACTTGATCTTAGCCCACAAGAGGTCCAGAAGCAATACTTTACCTTTCTTTTTTTTTTTTTAAAGGAAAATTTTTCATGTCCAAACCAAATCAGTCAAATTCATTCCAAATCCATGAATCATTCAAGACCTACGAGGCTAGGCTAATGCAGTCCATTTTTTAAAATTTCCCATATTCCAAGCCATATTAACCAAAACAAATTCCAAATCTGAGACTCAGTCCAGAACCATAAGTGGCCATACTTATTACTGGCAAGCATCCTCCACCCCCACCTGGGGCTTTAAATGTTTCCAAATCCTTTGGCAGACCATCTAAACAATATCTTGTTTGGATAACAGTACCTTTTGGTAGTATGTCCATTGTTTTCAGTTCCCCTCAGTGGTGACTCCTTTTAAAGTCTTAGTCAGCCACTACACTGAATACATTTTAACATCCTCTTTACTTCCACAGCTGAGCTGTACCTTTCTTTCTCATTTCCAATGATTCCTGGCTCTTCATCAGCCTTAAATATCTGGCAAACATCACCAAATGCGTCCCCAAACAGTTTACCCAGAATCCCTCTGTCACCCCCTCTTAGCCTGTCACATATGATTAGCATAGTCCTACCCTCCATGATGGACCATGTTGCCCTGTGCCTCATCTGCACATACATTTTTGGAAGATCCCAGGACTCATGACAAGATCACCCGGTACCAGTCATGAGTGGTGGGAGTGTTAATTAGCACATGGATCCTTTTGGGGGTGGAGGGGGTATATCTGGAGTACACATACACATACTGAGTAGTGCTGAGCTATGGGGTCACCATGATTTGAAATGCTCTGTTGGGAACTTACTTACCATGAACTACATGGTAAATAATGAGCTTTCTAGTTTTGGACTAATATCATGCATAATTTGTATTATGCATAAACAGGTACAGAAGCACTGCTTAAAAGTGTGTTTATGGAGTACCTGTGCTAAAACTTGCAGCAGTTTCAAAGATGGTAAAATGCATCAATTCTGGATGAACAAAGTCTGTGGGTACTCATAGTAATTTGCCTATATGCAAATTACTAGTCATGTTTATTTCAAAATCAGTGGCCAGTACAGTATTTTAAAATTTGCCCCTCACTTCCATGTGCTCAGGGAGAGCAGGGTTTGACAGCAAGGAGTAGGGGGAGGAGGGGGAAGGAAGGGCTTGCAGCAGGAAAAACTTGGGAGGCACAGGCCAAGGAGGCTACCTGACTCCCTGATTTATCTTCTTGCTGTAGCAGTGGGAACAGGACAAATTCAAGCAAACCTCCAATAATTTGATTCTATACCTGGGAAGTTATCACTATTTTTTTTATTTTTCATGTACCGAATCCAGCTATTGACACATCATCTTATGCTTGGGATCATCTTATATTCCAGTAAACGTGGTATTTGGCAGGGAAAAGTTTTTTATAATTTTGAATACACCATAATCAACTAGAGTTTTCACCTAGTAAATAGTTTTTACTTTTCAGATTGTTCAGACTGCCTGGGGCTTTACAACACTCATACAAAGACATCTGCTTTTAAATTCCTTCTCTCATCCAGCGACTGGGATTTCAAGAATAAACAAACTGCCACTGATTTTAGAACCATGTTCTACACATATTTCCATTAAAGCCAAATCCAAAACATATCAAGATTCCTCTTACAAATAAACCAGCATTGGTTATGATTTGTCTTATGATTTTTCTAACCTTTGAGGGTCCTTAAAAAATGTCGGAAGAGTTCTCTGTATGCATCCCGGTACCGGTCAGCCTGGGTCTGAGAACAGATTGACACAGAGGTTCCATGTTCAGTAATTCCCAAGGGATTCTGATTATCTACCCGTAATGATCCTTGAGAACCATGGACCTGGAAAACAGTGAGAGGAAGAATGAAGTAAATAAAAACCTGTTAAAGTACTGTAAATTAACATGCCTCTTGGCTTTAAAATTCTATCTGGTCTGCTGGACTGGATTACTGAGCTGCTCTTATTTTAGGACTGAATGAATAGTTTCCTCCCCCAGGTCCAGCGCCGACATCTTAATGTTTCTGGTGGTCTTGTACATCAACATAAACTTAGGCCATTTGCAAAAGGGCTTTGGCCCAATACATTTAGACCCATTCTTTTTGTTATTTGTGCTTACAAGAATATAACACCTGGCTTGCTGTGCCCATAATAAAACAGTTGGTGAAACAAGGGTAAATTGTATGCAGAGTTTCTGCCTCAGGGGACCTGAAAAAGCAGACAAAATCAGGACCAAATTCCATTCCTGTCTGATTGCTGTTAACAACTCCATAAAATACTCATGGGCACAATCAAGAGCAGAATTTGGCTACCAGAAGGGGAAGCTAATTTTAAGAGGACAGCAGGACAGGCAAAAAACTGTAACTTCTCCCTCAGCTGCATGGTGCTCTGTATAGCACATTGGTGCGTATGCACATAGGCACAAAAAAAGAATAGGTCCCCCAAGCAGACAGGAATTAGAGAAAAATTTACATTACGTAAAAAACAAACACACCTCTAGTCTCTGATCGCAGCTTTTAGTGCAGTGCTGACTGACGTCCAATGTAACAATGGCTCCACTAGGAAATTTCATGCTGACTGCTACAGTGTCTGCATCCTTCAAGTAGGCCATGTCTGAGTGATGAGAGATACCAACTCAGACTTGGAAATAAAAGGAAACCAGCAAATCCCTAGTGTACAAAAGTGCTTGTATTTTGTAAGAGGCACTAGGGTGACTATCATAATCACACAGCCTGGTGGAAAAGACATCCCAAACACATTTACTACCACTGACACCAATCCATTTACATTCCTCTTCACCACTCATCAGGTAACTCCCTACTCCACGCTTTTACTTTTATTACAAAATAATATAAAATAATAAATCCCGTATCTCTATATCTTACGACTTCACATACATTTGTTTTTCATTTACAGCACTGAAATAAGAAATAACTAGAAAATGAAATGACACTCTAGTGGAGAAGTTTAGTCTCACCTGCACAGAATGCATGTCCCAAAGAAAATATTGTATCTGGTGCACTTTCCCCCAGTAACAAACTGATAATATCAATGTCATGTACAGCAGCATTATAGAAAATCCCACCTGAAAGAAGAAAAAGTGAGCACACTAAAAGATGTAAATCCTATAAAATCTATGAGCAAGTTTATATTTCTACACTGCCTGAAGGGGGTTTCCAAAGAGGATGGAGCTAGACCAGGGTGGGCAAAGTCCGGCCCACGGGCTGGATGTAGTTGGCAGTGGACTCCATTTTCCAGCAGCCCACATGGTGGGGGCCGGTCTCCATGGAGACCCCAGCTGCAGCTAGGCTGGGGTTGCCATGGAGACTGGCCTCAGCTGTGCTGGCAGAGCATGGGGTATGGCAGGGCCCAGCCATGGCTCTGCCCCAGCTCCTTGCAGCAGTGACTGTGTGGTCCCGAGCCAAGGCGGAGTCATCATCTGCTGCCTGCGCACCCCTGCCCCCGAGTGTGCAGGCTGCAGATTGTGGCTCTGCTCTGGCCCCACACCAAGCTGCCCCTGCTGTAAGATCCCAGGACTCCCAAGTAGCCCCCTGCCCTGCCCTGCCCTGCCCTGCCAGCACAGCTGGAGCCAGTCTCCATGGCAATCCCAGCCTTACGCTATCACAGCACGGCTGTGGCTGGGCTCTCCATGGAGACTGGCCCCCACCATACCAGCAAGGACTGCTGGGAAATAGTCTGGCTGCTGGCCAGATCTGCCATTTTTCCCACCCCTGAGCTAGACTGTTCTCAGTGGTGGCAGATGAC